CATAGCATTGCTGAATACGGGTGAAACGAAACGGCGTCTTACAAGACGTCGCTAGCAGCAGTCTCCCGCTGAGCTCGGCGGCTTGGCTGTTCGTAGTCTTTCGTGGGCGACGTTGACGAAGATTCGGCCGTTGCCAAACGAGACTTCTCTCCAACCGTGTGTGTTTGTGTGTTCGTGAGCGTGTGTGTGTTTCGAACGCAGAGAGTGATGATGCTCGTTCGAACGTTAAAATTGGCCCTGCCAGCCTTGACTTACTGCGTTGCACTCTCCCTTTCTGCGCGACACTTTCCCCTGTGAGCGCGGCGCCGCCGTCCCCCCAATTCCCCCTTCCCCTGCCCACCACCTGCTTGACAGTGAATGTGGGTGACCAGCGTAGTGGGGAGTTCGAACTGTTCGTTTGGAGATGGATCTTTTTGTCAAATGGCTATGAGATTGTTATTAATGATTGGGAGATAGCCTTGTGCAGTTTTTACTTCCTAACATTGAGTTTGTATTCTGCGAAATTAAGCATTTACATACCGTAATATGACACTTGTTTTGTGATTGTGATGTGTGCATGCATAATTTGTTCGTTTAAATATTTTATGGAAGTGATACACTTTAAGAAGTAATTGAATATCTGTAATTATTTACTCCTTCCTAGTTGAAATGAAGGGTGCAATATCTTCGGATTTGCGGAATGTTAGTAGTTCAGCTTAATATTTCAAAATACAAATCGCTTATTCTGTTTTGTAAAAGTTAAATAATAATTGTTTTAGAACTCTTTTCAACAGTAATTATTGTTAGTTTGATGTAAGTATTAGAGATTGATGCTTTTCCAATCGAAAGAGCGGTGCCATCACCGTACGCCTAGGATTAATTTTCCAACATTGCTGGTCGGGTAAGTGTGGCGACGTGTAGTGTTCTCTAATACTTCCCCCAAAACATCCTGTTAGGGTGAAGAAGGAAAAGATGTTCGCTCTATCCCTCTATCGTCCTCTTTTGCTTTCTTTTTCTGATAGTTTTGCACAAGCATTTTAAAAGGCTATGTAATCCTACCAAAAATGGATCAATGCAAGAATTTCAAAACTTAATTATTTCTGCAGATTGCTATTTTTTGCTCATATCCCGAAGAAGACCTCAGAACATCGTGTTCCTCTACGTAGCTGGTGGAATTTTACTCCCTATTATGTGATCCCAGAGTAACGGAGTTTTTAATCAAACTATAGTATTTCGTTCTCCGTACACCGAAAGGCTCTTTTACGATTGCGTGCATTTTTATCCGTGACATTTAAATGGAGAAATGTTCTCACGTGCAAATTGGCGCTTCCCTTACGAGGCGACGGAAGGAAAACTAGTCTTGGGGAGCCCCGCATTCCCAGTTCTGCTGTCCCTGTTCGGGCGGACACGGACTGGAAGGGAGGGGTGTGCCGAAGGCGGGCGCTAATCGCGTGTGGATGGCCAAGTGCTGCCGAATTTCTCCGGGTCCGCTCTGCGACTGTGTCGGCGCGGTTCGGCGTCGCGTGCGTGCAAGGCGAGCTGGCCGCCCCTCCCCTCCTCCTCCACCCCTGCTCGCCCGTTCGCCTGCCTGCAGCGGGGAAAGGCCCGCCTCCGCCCGCCTTCGCCCGCCTTCGCCCTCTGCCATCGATCTCCTTGGTCCGCCCGCCCGCCACGGACCCCCTCACGCCACACACCTCCCCAGCACCCGCACTCTGGCCAAGTGTTGGGGCTCCTCCGACGCGACGATCACTGGTTTCTCGCTTTCATTTGGGCCAGGTTGTAGTTCGGTTGTTCTGTTATCTCCTTGGACATTTTACGGTTTGATTAGGAATGTGACTGCTCCTACTACTGCAAATCTCCGCTCACGCCCGTTAGTTTTCTCTCGGATAGGAATGCGTTTCAACGTGTGTACGCTACGCCGTTTTTGGAATATACGAACTTTAGCGGTCACTATTTGTCTTCTGATTTGCATCCATGCAATCCATGCAATACATAATGATTTGCATACATTACACGTGTATGTGTTTTGCTGTTGGACTACGCCTTTTTGGATCGTAAATAACTTATTGAAATATGACTTTATTTATGAACTGTGAAATTATAAAACGCTCCTTTACTGAATGTAGGTCAATGGAAAATATGTTTGTCCATAATGATGCCCTCGGCAATGGCGATAATTAGCATGTTATTTTGTTATCTTTGTGGGTGTAGAAATAATGATTTCCCAAATGTGTCTGCTGTTGCTTGACATGTTGGTTACGTCTGTCCTCTTTTTCACAAATGTAGGAATGTTTTTCTTTTTAGAAATTTTTGAACTTCAATGATGACTGACTTCTTTCTGAACTCAAGTACATGATCTTCAAATATAGATATTTGGAAAGAACGTTAACGTGTAGATAATCAAAATTTTGTAGTAATGACGTCAGTGTTTGACTAAATACTTGTAAATTAACTAATATGTTAATTTGTTGGTTTATTGAAATAACAATCCTAGCATCTTTAGTTGTATTCAGGTTAATCTTTTTCTCTTCGGTAAGTTGATAAGATATATTATTGACTCCATCGTATTTCATGCTAGTTTCTGAAAGACAGGTGGCGTGACGAATTTGCATGTTTAGTTCTGCTTTCTAAAACCCACTTGTCAAAATTTTCGTTTGCTACCGTGCAGATACCATCGGAGCTGTCGTTCAGGATTCTAATTGACTTTCTTCTTGAAATCAGCGCGAATAGGAATCAAGAAGAAGCTAATGCGGCATTTGCAAGGTGTGGGCGAGTTTTTAGGTTAGCCGTTTTGGAAACTCAACCGAAAATTCTTTCCTGTCCTTTCAACTCGGTCTCGTGGTCTGGTAAGTTCTTGGTGGAGAGACGTTTTATTCCGGGCCCGAGAGATGATTGGGGGCGAAAATATTTAGGAATTTTATTGCAATTCACGGACGTTAATGTTTTAAAACATTTTTATTGGACAATGGAAACGCGATGCGTGTTATAAATTTAATCAGTACATTCAATATGACTGTTGTAAATAACGTATACGCAGTTCACGTTCTCGTGGATGTACTCGCAAAAATATGAAATTTTGCAACTGATAACTCTAAGTCCATTTGTTTGTTTTATTTTATTATTTATTGGCTCAACGTAAATAACGCGGGGCCTTGGAACGGAACCCAGGAATAGTTCTTAGTGGGATCGAAGGCTTCCGCGGCCAGAATCATGTGAAGGCCGAGAGCCATCATTATTTCTTAGCGTTCGTCTCATTGATTTTTTTAAGGTAACTTTTATTAGCATTTAGCTCTTTTTCGCATAATATCTATCGTTTTGTTCTTCGAACTTCTGCCTGGGTGTTTCATGAGTTTCGATCGTGCTACGTTGCGGGTCACCCCTTTCCACAATAGCATTAATGGTGGTTTCATTGATAAGTCTCTGGATACTGTAATCGCTAGCGTCGGAGACGCAGAAGCTCCCGGACATGACCTCTACCTTTCCCTCTGGCCTGCACTTGCAGAACGCGTTCGTTTTTTGTCTTTAATTATCTGTGTACACTAGTTTATTGTTCGTGATTTGACCTAAGTAATTACATCACAATTGAGTGATAAACCTTCACCATATTACTTGAATTCTGATCAGATCCGTTGATTTGTTCAAGCGTTATGAGGGCGGGAGGAAATTCACTAAGTGCGATGTGCAAAACATGGTTGTATACCTGTTCAGTCCCGGGACCGTGTTTTCCTTATTCTGATAGACGTTTTCAGTCCCGCCCAGAGGTGACCGTCCAGTTGGATCCGGTTCTTCCTAATCCCTCGGCTACCCCCTCTCCTATTCACCCAAACAAAGAACTTTTCCCCTTTTCAAACTGCTTCCTCGTTAAGGAACCAGTGTCTGGGCTGTGGATGTCCAGAAGAGCAAAGGGAGCAAGAATATCTTCATAGAGAACGGACGTAAATATCGATTTCATAAAATGCTGAAGGATGTAAGAATGTGAGCCTGCTAGCAGAGTATTTGCGCTTCCGTCGGAACTTCAAACTCGTACCTTTTACTTTCCGAAACTGAATCCTCAGGAAGACTGAATCGGGTCTGAAACTGTCAACTCCCCAAAACATACCCCTTCCTTTCTTGGCACTATGAGTCGAGTAATGGAGTTTAACGTCGTTTGGCTGTGAGGTGCTCGAGTGTTGATGACTCGGCAGTACTCTGCCTCTGCCGCCGTCTCCGCAGAGAACGAGTCGCGGTTTCACGAAGGTGCGCGGGAGCTGACACTTCATCGAGGCCGCCGCGCTCGCAAACTTCTCGAGTCATAGTGCGACCGAGCGATGTTGACACCGCAGAGAAAGCACCCCCCCCCCCAAAGTGAGCGAATTAGCTTGAGTCCTGCTTTAGTGGTACAACGTGCCTAAATAGTTCGCCATTCGACGTACTTGTCGGGACAATGACGCTTCAGTTTTACCACTGATTTCACTGGATGGTCGCAGTGTTTGTCGAGCTAAGTGGAATCGAAAGGTGGAGTTGACCAAACTCCATCACTGTCCATGGCAATTGTGATGTTAACTTCAAATAACTGACTGGATTCATATATTATTATTCAGGATTCTAACTTCTACGGGTCTCTTACATGCGGGAAGGAAATGTCGCCATTTTATACACTGGGACTCAAGTCGTAGTTTCGTATAAGCTGGTTTTCTTAAATAGTGACTCCATTGATAATTGTAAGAAAAATACGATTATATAGAAAAGGAACATAAATGGTTGACCTCCTTCATTAATGGCGTGAAGGGTGGCCAAAGATGCCCATCCCATACACCAGCAAGTTCGGTTCTCGAAAGTGACCTTGCTGGATGTGCTATTCACCCTAAATCGCCTGTGATCATGATACTGATTTATGCATGATGTTTATATGATAATGATCGGCGGATCCTTCGCCGGTGCTACACCCCCCGACCCATGGGAACCGAGCTCGTTGGTGTATGGGCCACTGAAGGACTAGCACTGCCGCCGTCACCACCGCCACCACTATTCCTGCCACCCACCTTGACGTCCTTGATGCCCTGCAGCGCGTCGGTGGTGAAGGAGGTGTTGGCGAGCGTGGGCTTGTTCTTGACGCTGGGGAAGATGACGTTGCGGGAGCGCGTGGTGGCTCGCGCGGTGCTGACGCTGCTGCTGGCCGCGGAAGCGGCGGCTGCGGCGGCCGCGGTGGTGGAGGTGGTAGTGGAGGGCGTGGTGGTGGGCGCGGGTGTGGACGGCGCCACCGGCTGCGGGGGCGGCGGCGGGGGCAGCGTCGTGGCGGGGACCTCGGGCGCGGGCGCGGGCGTCGTCAGCTCCACGTCGTACGGAGCTGCCAGGTCCTGCGTCAATAAACAAATGGCTCGTTTTTTCTCTTGCCTTGTTCCCTTGTTCCTGTCTTACAGAATGCATGATTGCGAATGAGCGGTTACGAGAAAGATTATTTCTTGCGTTTTTGATTTATAAAACCTTATAATCGATGTCTCCTTGCGATCATTTACATTTTGGAAATAATGTAAGGATAGTGTGTAAGTCGCTGTATACTGACACCCAGTTTCAAACGAAATATTATTAATTTGTTCTGAATATGAAATAGAGTATCTATGTTTATGTTTGTATTATTTTGTTTATTAATGTTATTATTTATATTTTATAGTTACGAACTTACTCGTTTAAACGTTCTAATCAAGTACCACAAGAAATATTCAAAGTGACGTCCACCTGCGTAAATACAGAATTCTACTGTTCGTCTTCAGAGTGAATGCCGAACACGATCAGAAACGTCAAAGTAGTGTGTATTATTTGACACCGCCGTCGTGCGAGCACTCAGAATTATGCTCAGTAGTTGAATAACACCAATACTTTTAAGCGCGTCCCAAAGATATGAATAAGGGTTTATGTCTTGGAAGATTTACCAAGTTATCGCAGATGGAAAATCACAAAATACAAACAATAGGTACGGCTACACGTTGCGACAGCGTTAAATTATTGAGGTTGCTAAGGTATTCAATTCGATAATTTCTTCAAAGTATGATTTAGCCATGTAAACGTAACCAGAGTCTCACATTCTATCCAGCGACCAAGAAATGCTCTAGCATTAATAAAAGTTCGGTGCACTCTCAAGAAGAAAAGGTCTGATAACTCCGTAATAAAGCATTTCTGGTCCACTACTGTACTGGGTTTTGTGTGTCCCTGGTTCCGAAAATTCGAATGACGGCAAAACGTCTGTTCGTCTGTGAACAACGCTAGCCGCTAAACCGTTCAGCCGATTTTCTTCAAAATTGATATTACCTAATCGATTTGGCTGATGTCGCGGCTACTTGAATATTTTTTTTTGGGAGTCTTCCTAAAACTAAAATATTAGAGATAGAGATATTTTCCTTTAATGAAATCTGTTCCTTAAAGATGGGTTTTGAAATAAGGGCAAGTGCAAGTTTTCGAAAATTTGAGTACTTTTCGCATAATTTTGCGTGAAAATATGAGGGAGAAAGTACATGCTGTTTTCACAGCACTAGTTTCAAGAGAATGGTGTTTTGTGCAAAGAGCAGCGGCGCTGTGGCGCGCGTACCTGGGGGGGCACGAGGCTGGGCGGCAGGAAGCCGGTGGCCGGGGCGGAGGCGGGCCCGCTGACGAGCGGCGCCTGCTGCAGGCGGCGCTCCACCAGGTCGAGGTTGGCGATGATCTCGTTGGCCTTGTTGCGCAGGTCGGCGTGCGCGTCGGACAGCGCGCGCTCCTGGCGCTGCGTCTGCGTCAGCAGCTTATCGGCGGCCGGCACCAGCCCGTCCACGCTGCTCTTGGTGCCCACCACCACGTCCCACACCTGCGGGACACGGGGCTCTCAGACACGCGTTGCCGACGGCGCTTGGCCGCTTAAACGAAAGCGGTGGCTTCCGCGGGCGGGGACTGTATGAACTTGACTGGCTGGGAGACGCCGCGTTCTAGGCATGCATGTTTAGGCGGACAGCTGTTTCTAGGACGAAGCGTCTCCCGGACTGCCAAGTAGATACCGTCTCTTAAACATTAGTTTGTTCACTGGCTCTTTCATAGTTTAATTAAAAGGGATTTAAAATGCTAGTGGGAATTCCGGATGGGATCGGAAGTCAACATCTCCCCAGAGTGCTTGGGACGCAGTATTTGTCTCTTGTGAATAACATTCTGTTTATTTCGATTACAATATGATTTTCTTGTTTTTTAAAGAATTTCTGGTCGTTTTGAAAATATAATTTGATAAAAACGGAAGAAAGATACCTTTATTTCGATTGTGAGCAATATGGCTTCCTCGTGGTGTGTATCGCGATTATCTCGTCCGAGTGATGCATTTCGTGTTCTGCATCAGCTTACATCATGTAATTCTTAAATAAGACCAGGTATGGCAAATATAAAGTTGATTATGAAGTCAGGATGTTATTGTTTAGTTTTCAGGCACAATCGTTTACTTCAACTCCCTACAGTGTTGTAGGTATTATAAAACCCTTGAGAGTTGGAGTTGCTTCAAAGCCTCCTGTGGCTACATTTCCTTCTGCCTCCTGAAAACTCATTTAAACATCGTAAAACTAGTGATAAATTGTATTCGTCCATCTAAAAAATAATATTACGGGTTCTAGGTGCAATTTAAGACAGTGTTAAAAATAAAAATCTGAGAATGTAGCCCTGAAGAAGGCCGCACTGTAGAACGCCGGAACGTGGCAACCTTGAAAACGTCCCTGCAGTCAAAGTTCTATTGACTTCGGAAGCAAACGCCTACTTCTTCCGGAGTTCGACCAACAAGCTACAAGCGTGTTATTTGCAGTGCACGAAATGCATAATACTCAGCGTTTCGCAGAAGTTGCTGCGTTCCAAACATTGTATTGAGATAGTGAGGGGAAGAGGAAATACTGCCCTGGAGATGGTTTTGAAAGTAATAAATGGAGATACTTCAGGCTTACAGTGAATGATGCGCAGTTTTATTGCTTGTGTAATATTCAGATCCCGGCCACGTGACAGAGTTGTCAAGTAAAGAGATCATCAATGGTTGGAGCCTCACCGGGGCGAATGCATTCGCATTGCTTTGTGAATGCCAGAAGAATGTCGCAATAGGACGAAAGATCTTGGCAACCCTGCTTGAAATGTTGCGTTTTCATGAGAGGTTCTATCCGCTGCCGCAGAATACTTGGTCAGCGTAATAAAAATACGTTTTGTTTTTAGCAAAATCAAATTTCATCAGAACCTAAATTATAGTAACGGAATATAAATATTTTTTGTTTTAAATGATGGAATGTATTACACTTTCTTGGAGAATACGTGTTGCGTTTCTTAGCTCCACAAAGATAAATTCCCTTAGGTTTAAAACATAAATGTGTAGAAGAATCTTAAAAGAAAATGAGAATAGAAATGCCGTTCGTAAAACTGAATATCTTTGCTCCACCTAAACATACAGTGCATGTTATCAATTTTCGATTCGAATAGTGAAAACATCGTAAGAGTTACTTGATACTTAATATTATTTGCTGATATTTCTATCTTCGGGTCTCTATATGAAGGAAAGTATACCCGGAGTTGACCCTCCCCTCCTTGATTTTACGATATTTTGTGCAGGAACATTTCTTTGCAAACCAGAAACGTGCAGTCCTCGCCGATGAAGTGACTGGCGTAATGGATGCTCGCTATTTAAGCGTTCAGGCGAGACTCGCTTGGAAGATTCGCTCGGACCCTTGGGGTCGTTGAGCTACGCCACTCCGCACAGGCAAGCCTTGTACAGCACCTTCGAGAAGTTGTTCCGCAACTTGCCATTTGTCGCAAGGGCTTGTAAAGAAGAGGTAGTGGAGATGTTTCGGATATTGTATTTGACATAAGAGATAGTAAATTTTGCTCGGCTTCTCCCTAGCGCACAAAGGGTTTTTAAAAAAAATAAATAGTCTTCTTTTGTATGCGCCTTACCAATAAATATCGTGATCTCCAGGAGGTATTCGTCTGATGCCGTATAGTGAATATTTATGCTGACATAAAACATTCTCCTATTTACAGTGAATAATAACTAAATACCGGATCCTGGGAGTGCATCAGAATTTGTGTGGCGAACGTGTGCTTGTAATTGCTTTCTTGTTTGTTGCGTTCGTATGCAATCCGGCTTCGTGTCGTACGTTTCCAAAGGCGACGTGATATAATGAGCGAGGAAGGTCGATGAACTATCGTAACATCTGAGCTTAGCTTATTAAGAAGAGGAGCGGTTGTAACGAGGAGATAATGGACGTATCTACTACTCTTGTGTTGTGATTATGATATATGGGACTCTCTTTTCGTTTTTACTCTCTATAATGGATCATGTGTTGGGCGGTTGTAAACATTTTCTACTGTATGTACGACAACATTAAATCGGTACGCATTTTATTTTGGGTTTATCTTTATGCCTTATAAATTTACTTTCGGTTTTTGATTTATGCAATGTAGAAAAAGGGTGGATTAAGATCCTCTTAAAAAGTCTTGAGGAAGGGTCGTTGCTCGCAGTGTTGATTTAGAAACCTTGTTTATCTTCTTATATATTGCCGTGAAATAACGTAAATCAGAGAAAGATGAAAACGTTCTCTGCTGCATTTTTTCCTTCTTAAGGAAAATGTTCGCATTACATGGTTTGCAGGGTACGCGACGTTTCTTGTAACACATGGAGGCAAGCACCTTGCGGTTCGTAGAACTGCGTAAATAATTCTTGCTAGGAAGCGAGCAGGCGGGCGTAAAGAACGGCGCGGGTGCGATGTCCCGAGCCGTGTAACCTACGGCCTCCTCCGGGGCCGTTGCTCGCTAAGGCAATTGCGCGGCGGTCAGCTACGGGATTTACGGCACCGCCGAATACGCGTTGCACGCTCCTTCGCCTCCTGCGCCGCCGCATGCCATGTCACGCCACGCCACGTCTAGAATTCCCCCGCCCCCTCCGCTCTCCTGCGCTCCTTAACCCGGTCTCTTTCTACCCCAACTCGCGCAGTTGCGACGTACTCCGTTCCGGTCTGTCCCGTCCCGCTTCATCTAGCCTGTGCCCGCTCCTCTACGCTCCGCCCCGCCCCGTCCTTCCCCGCCCCGGCCTCCCTACCCAACTCCGTCTCGCCCAGCCACGTCTCACCCCACCCCACCCTACTGTGACGTGTTGGACAGTACATTGTTCAAATAGTGATTGAGAATGTATTTGCAATGGAAAACGTCCCTAGATGTTTGATTACGATATTCCCATTTTCTGATAGAATTGCGTTGAAATAATTTAGAGCTAGTGACCCATTATTGATATTACTCGTTCTAGCATAAGCTAGGAATCTACTGATAATCAATAAGCTTCTTCGACTTCAAAGATAAGAAAACATAACTTGCTTATCACCAC